AGTTGTGAAAGATGCTGATGCTGTTTTCAAGTTACATAAATTAGGGATCCTTGGGGCTCTCTGAGCTTGCTTTTCTTGTAGGTATTTCATTACCCTAACTAGGCAATTTCATCAGTGCAGGCAAGGAGTACTGTTTGCTGTCAGTTTATATTCTGGTGTCTTGCCTGCCTATGTGGGTGGGGGCAGTCTTAAAGAGTCTTCGGTTGGACTGTTTACTGATGGCTTTTTGGCAGTTTCTTAATTGAGGGTATTGCTTACTTGCAATAATTGCATTCAAATACCCATTAAACCTTATTTTACAGACAATTTTATGCATTTTCTTTATTTTTGACAGTTATGGAGCCAAAGTCCGTGCCCCTCATGCTTTGGTAATGACATTTCTCTTCAAAAGTGGAAGGTACATTTCTCACATCATCTTACATAATAAACCCATAGAAGTTGAAGAAGCCTACCTTGTTTGTGTGCATGTTTGTATGCATGTTTTTTAAAATATAGGTAGTTCTCCACTTACAACCATTAGCGACATTACTGAAAAAAAGTGACTTACAACTGATACTCATACTTACAATCATCATAGCGACTTACAACCATCCCCACACTCACATGATGGAAATTTGGGTGCTTGGTAACCAACATATATTTATGTTACTTGATTGTCATTTGCAGTCTTCTTGAAGCAGAAGCCACCTTCCAACAAGCAAAGACTTACTTAACAATCCTTTGAGTTACTTAATAAGGGCAGTGATTTGCTTAACAACTATGGCAACAAGGGCATTAAATTGGGCATGACTCAACAAACACCCTGTTTAGCAATGGAAATTCTGGTCTCAATTGTGGTTGTAAGCCGAGGCTATCTGTAATCTTTTAGTACAAATTGTGATTTCTTCACTGCATTCTTAATGTTTCTGTTTGCATGTTTTTTTACTAAATTAAATATATTAGGACAGAAAAAGAAGAGTTTGTCATCCTTTTTGTACTTAAATCAGACTATAAATATATTTAATACTATGGATATTTATCCATAGAAACAACATTTTCTAGGAAATCAGGGGTGGTGGTGTTATGATGGCAATCTAACAATACAATTTTGCATATATATTCTCAAGCGAGTTTCACTAGATCCAATGCAGATTATGCTGTAATCATATCAGCCCTTATGTAGAAATAACATTGCAATCTTATCCATTGTTAATGTAACTCTGTAGTTGAAGATTCTTTGATGTACAGATGTTCTCCTGGCTAAATATAATAGAGGTGACCTAGTAGATATCAGTAGAATTTCCTTCTTTGAACTTTCAATAATTTTAACAATCTTAGTCATGTCAGATTTAACTTAACAGCCACTCTTTGCATGTTAATTCAATTTTAATTCCAATGTTATAGTTTATACAACTATAAATGTTTTTAAAAGTGCCATTTTAAAAGTTATGAACATTTGAGTACATCTCTACATTGATGAGAAAACATATTCATGCTCTTTTATTAGAAACAGATTTTTTATGTGGCTTTAGTTTTCAAATATTTTCTGAAAGTGAAATGAAGATCATTATTACTTTTTAATGTACATCAGAAGCAATGACCAATAAATATTATAATTGATTTATAATATTTCCAGGGAAATAGCATTATGTGTAATAATTGTTCCTTGTTTCTTCCCTTCAGCCTAAAGGAAAAATTGAAAGCAATTCTTCAAGCTACCTATACTCATTCCAAAAACCTGGCCTACTTTGTATTCACTTATAAGGGTTTGATGGCCATGCAGTCACGAATGCAAGGAAAGAAGATTCCATTTCATTCTTTCCTCGCAGCCTTCATTGTGGGCTGGTTAGTGTTTGGGGAAAATAATAATATTAACAGCCAGGTAAGCAACTGTGTGGTTTTGTGTTAGATTTATGGTTATACTGATCTAATGAAGAATGAAAGAGAAATTGGGGAAATTTAGTAAATTCTACCATCACATTCTTCCATTATTAATTTTTGCATATCTGCCACAGATGTAGTAGTGAATTTATCTGAATACAATTCTTTTGCCTCTTTCTTTCACTCTAGCAAATTTTAAGAAAGGAATTAGTAATCATTATAATTTGTTAAGTTTGTATGCTACCCAAGTCTCAACTACTCTGGATGGATCACAACAATCACATTAAAGAACATCAATACAAGATAAAAAGTGGAAAGTGGAATGAAGCGAGTGGTCTCACTTTCATGTACCAAAAGCTTGGGTGAAGAACCAAGTCTTCACAGATGATATAAACAATAGTAGACTGGGGTCTCTTTGGGTCTTGGGGACAATCTTATTCCAGAGGGCATGCCCTGCTATAAAGAACATCTGCTATCTATTTGCTAACCACACTCAATGAACATTTTAACAAAATATCAGTATTGTTATTCAAATGGTAAACTCATTTAGAGAAGCATTATTTCTTCTGGGATAAAAAAAAATACAACCAATACTTCACAGAGGTATATAATTGTGGCAGAAGAATGCCTATCTATGTTGATTTATCATTGTAAAAAATCCTAGTATAATTTGGATGCTTTTTAGGAAATGTACTTAACACACAGTTTCATTTCTTTTGAAACCAGTTTTCATGCAACTGGGAAAGGATTTACAGCTGATATTTCAAGCATTAGATTTAGAAATAGATGTAAATTGTTGCTGAACCTTATGAAAATGCAAGCAGGCTGGTTAAAATTAGAGACTGATTTTGGTATGAAAGCATTTGATGATCTCCTAAATTGAAAGTTGTTTCAAGTAATCTCATTTTCCTGTTGTGCTAATTGCCTAATTTTAATTCAGTATTTTTTCCTGAACAGATAAATATGTATCTATTATCTCGTATCCTGTTTGGCTTGTCAAGATTGGCAGTAGAGAAGGGTTATATCCCACAGCCCAAACAAGATCCCTTTCCACTTTTTGCTGCTGTGGTTTGGGGGATTGTTCTTTGGCTCTTTGAGTATCACCGGCACACTCTACAACCATCACTACAATCATCCATGACCTACTTATATGAGGACAGTAATGTTTGGCATGATGTTTCTGACTTCCTTGTACATAATAAAAGATCTACTACCAAATAATCCTAACAACTATTTGGATAATAACACATTCCAATGGTGGTTAAAAAGATGTATATCTGAGCATCCTTTGTAATACTGCATTTATTTATATTAACATTGGATATTAATTTCTACTTGAAGTCTGTCCACAATGTTTAGTATAGATTGCTGATTTCTGCTGATTGGCGCTTGAGTATTTTACAAGCAAAATATTTTCTTCCTTTTTTCTTCAAGATATCCAGTTTCCCCTTCTATACTACCAGCTGAGGAAAATATCTCTTAATTGTTTTAAAATCAAGAAATATGAATTAAATGTTAAAAGGATCAGATGACACAAGTAACTTTTGCAACTGGTGTCATCTACAATTTCTTCGGCAACAAACACATTTGTTCAGCAAACAAATTTTCTGCATGATGGATATCATTTGATAATGATCTTGATCTGTAGTTATGGTATTTGGAAGTGTTATTGCTTATGTTTTGTTTATCCATACCTCTTTTCTAGATTATAAGGACAGATAACAGATCAAACAAATTTTAAAGATGGCTTTTAAAAAATTATGCATTTTTTAAATTCAGTTGCATAAATAATGACACAAAAATTGGGGTGCTTTTAAGTACACCATCTTACAAAATGCTTAAGATTTAGTAATGTTAGCAAATAGAGAAGAAATAGGTTTTATTTCTTGGGTTTCTAAAATGAAAGAAGAGAGTAGATAGTATGGTGAATATAGGAAGCGTGTCAAATAGGTTATTCTTGTTATGAAATCCTGTGTTATGGGGCGGGGGGGCAAAAGTGTGAATACTAAAAAATCTTTTCCTTGATTGAAGCTCTACCAGATGGAAAATGATGCAATCATACATAGCTAGAACTATTATTGCAGTTGTCATTCTCTGATCATACAGCCAACAGGTATAATTATGTTTAGTAATACACCAAAAGTGCCAAATGGATTATTAGATTTTATCTCATTCTTTTATTAATGAATACAGATAACACTGTATTGCACTTTTTGAAATTTATTTATTATTAAACAAATTTATATGATCACCTGATTCTCAGAGTGACTCCAAGCAGTGTATAATTTTAAAAATCCACATTTTTTTTTAATTTAAAACCACCTAGTGCAGCCACAACAGAATCAGACAAGCCATTTGACTGGTTCAGAATGGCATCCTCAAGCCCTCTGACAAAACCATGTCTTCAAGACCTTGTAGAAAAGCATCAGGGTAGAGGCCAGTCTTATCTTTGGAGGAATGATGTTCCAAATATTTATCATCCAATCATGTTAACTGGCTAAAGCTAGTCTTTCTGTATCTTTTCCAGTCTTGTACAGATGCACAGAAAAGCAGTGTCTATTTCTTATTTTAAAAGAACAAAAAAATGGACTTCTAGATGAAATGGATGATCTTGCAAAATTTATTTGCATAGCAAGCATAGATCTTCCTAAAATGTTAATTTCTTTTCGTAATTTCATCCCTTTGTAAAGTTATCAAACTCACAGCCCACAGGCCAGATGCATCACACACTGGCCATGCCCACCCCTGGTTTAGCAAAGGGGAAAAAAGTTGCAATACCTCACATGAAGATGTGTTGCCACAAGTTTGACACACCTGCTGTGTGTCATGAATACTACACTTGGCCTCATGCACTGCACGCACACATACACACACTATTGCTGCTGCTAAAAAGCTAGGTTTATAAATTAAAATGTCTGCTATCCTAATCTCATTTTAGAGTAATCACTTTCAACGCAGCGAGCATAGTGAAGACTCTGTTTTTAAACACCATTACACAAATTGAAGCAGCTTTTTTTAATTGAAGAAAACAAATGTACTTTTGTATGTGCTGGAGTTTTATTTGAAATAGGATGCTTAATAGGACTTTGGTTAAAAAGACAAAACAAGACTGAATATAAGGCCTTAAAAATTATTGGTTTATGCTGTTGTACTGAGTTTTTATTTATCATTGAAAAGTTGCTTATGATACCAAATATATATATATATATATATATATTTGGGAACCAAGGAAGTTTTGTATTTAGTTTATAGGACTATGATATTGCTGTGGCTTGTTAATTTTTTTTTAATCACATGTCTTTACTTCGCTTGTTTGATATATTTGTTATCTTCCACCATTAAGTGTCTGTTCTCATCAGATAATCTATGGAAATCTATTGCCTCCTTTTTGAATTCCTCTCATACAAATGTTTGAAAGTCACTATGCCAAAATCATATCATGTTTTATGTTCAAAAGAATAAATACCAATCTGCTTCAGAATATTATTGATATTTTGGGCAACGTCTGCCCTAAGCTTTTATTATTTCTCTTCTCACATCGTTGCTTTCATGCAGTGACACCTTCTGCTGCCTTCTTCTTAAACAATGGGCAGTATTTCTTCTTAAAGTTGAAGGATCAGTATATTTTTAACTAGTACTTCAAATAGAGTTTAGATTTTTCTGTGTTTCTTTTGGGCTGCAGTCATCAAACAGTAATACTGAGCTTTTTTTTTTAAAGCATATTGTTTAAGACCCTGTCTGAACTCACACAAAGCACAGGACTGTAAAGCAAATTATATGTGATCACTCCACTACTGTTCCTATAGCTTACAGATGAGGTTGAATCCCTTCTGCCACTAATGTGACTGAACAATGCTAGTGTGTGCTAGGGAAGTGAACTAGAAGTAATGGGTCGGTCCAAAGACTCTTGGATACATAAGTTCCATTCCTCACTCTTTCAAATTGTATTGTTTAGCAAGCTAAGTATTCTGTTTGGTTTTCATGCTAATAAGAAAGAAACACAAAAAGAATAAGGCGACCGTTTGGAAATCCAGCTCCCAGGCAGCCTGTCCCATCAAAATTAACCAAGTACCAACTATCTCAGCCCTGAAGATCAAAACAGATGCATATGTGAATTGTGTTAAAAGCAGTTCAGTACAGGTTTTACACTGAGAACATTTTAATAGGAGATCTGGATTCCTGATCTGAGAAAATATCCATCCTTACTTAACATGCCATAATTTTATTAAGCCTGAAAAATGTTTCCCCAAAAAATAATATAAAAAGCATCTATGCTGTATTGATACTATATAAATTGAGTGAATTATTTATATTATTTAAACTGAATGAAATAGATCTAGAAATGCTTTAGAGGCAGCTTTTAAAAAAATAAAATAGAAAATGAGGAAGATTAGAATAAGTCATTATCCTAATTTGAATTGGAAAAGTACAATGTCCTACATAATTCAAAGAACACTACTTAATATAAGCTCCCTGACATGTTTGTGGATGTTAATTGATATTGTACGTGCAGAGTCTCAAATAGTATAAACTAATGGAACAAATCATTTAACAGTATAAAGAATGTGTAAGTACTTTTTTGTTAACTTTCCTGTGGGAATCATGAAAGTTTCTTAGATTTTTTTTTAAATGCTACATATTGGCAACATTACATTTACATGAATTGCTGAATTTAGAAATTTTGGAAAATAGCCATGTGTTTTTTTATAATAATAGATTTCCTCCATTCACTGAAAAAGTCTCTATTCTTTTTTTTTGTTTCCTGTTTTCATATGGATAGATACAAAGTTATTTTTCAAATATAATTTCCAATATAGGCTTTTTCATGCTGCTGAATATAATTTCCAATATAGGCGTTTTCAGGCTGTTGTAAGCTAATCATATTTTTGTATGTTAGAAATGTTAAATGGCTATACAGTAGAGGTAGTCCTCAACCTACGACCACAATTGAGCCCAAAAGTTGCTAATTTGCTTACGGTAAGTGAGTTTTGCCCCATTTTACAACTTTTCTTGCCACATTTGTTAAGTGAATCACTGCAATTCTTAAATTAGTAACATGGTTGTTAAATGAATCTGGTTTCCCCATTGACTTTGCTTATCAGAAAGTTGCAAAAGGGGATCACATGACCCCAGGACACTGCAACCGTCATAAATGTGAATTAGTTGTCAAGTATCTGAATGTGAATCATGTGACCATGAGAATGCTGCAATTGTCCTAAGTGTGAAAAATGGTCATGTCACTTTTTTTCAGTGCTGTTGCAACCTCGAATGGTCACTAAGTGAACTGTTATAAATCAAGGACTACCTGTAAATTATCTATCCTTAAATAGTTCACAGAACAGATTATCTTCTTGAAGTGTATGGGATATCCAGGGTGTTACCTAGTTATTCTCTTCCTCTCTTGCAATAAAACAAGATTTTGTGCAGCAAGTGTATTTAAAAAATAATGATCTTGGCTGTAAAGAAATACTGATTATGAGTCCAGACTGAATTCTTTTTCTCTCAAACCAAATGTTTTTAAAGCTGTGCGGGTTATCTAAATGATTCATCCTGAAATAATAATGCCATGGGCACTACATACCAATATAGAAATGTAACATCATTCATTAGGCTTGCTGAGTTCATGCAGTCAAGCTCATTTTGCTAATTAACTGAATTAGTTTTATTGAAATGTATATTTTAAAAAACATTTTATGTTATATATTAAGTTATATAAAATCTTGTTTGGTTTTGGTTTAGTGCAATATGTGAATATGGCCACTGGTTTATAAGCATGGCACATGGTCTAATGCTTGGCAACTTTAAGATGGGTAGATTTTAACGTATGGCTGGCTTAGGAGTTCTGTGCAGCCCTTGACTTAAGACCATAATTGGGAAGAGAATTTTCACATGTTGATTGTAAGCCACCTAGCATTGCCCCTAAGCAAGATGGACAACACAGACATTTAATAAATAAGTCAAGCAAGCAAGCAAGCAAGGCAGTTGTTAAATGAGTCACCCAATTTTATAATCTTTTTTTGCCACAATTAAGTGTGCAGCAGCTGCCAAAAAAGCCAACACAGTTCTAGGCTGCATAAACAGAGAGATAGAATCAAGATCATGTGAAGTGTTAATACCACTTTATAATGCCTTGATAAGACCATACTTGGAACACTGAATTCAGTTTTGGTCACCACGATTTAGAAAAGATGCTGAGACTCTAGAAAGAGTNTAAGCAGATGCATGTGGACTTCCATAACTCCTGGCTGGTGATGTCAAGCTCGTAATATTTGAGAGCCAGTTTGGTCTCGTACTTAAGGCGCCTGGCTACAAACCAGGAGATAATGAGTTCTAGTTGGGTCTTATACATGAAAGCTGGCTGAGGTGACTTTGGTCTCTCTCTCAGCCCAACTCACCTCACAGGGTTATTGTTATTGGAAAAATTGGAGGAGGAGGAAGGTGTACTATGTATGTTTGCCACCTTGAGCTATTTATAAAAATAAAGGAAATAAATAAATCAAACAAGCAATCAAGCAACATAATAAACCCGAACTTCTGAAATATTCACCCTATATTTCTCTTTCCTTTCACCAGTGTTTCTCCCTATTGTTTTCCTTACTTACCTGTTAGGATTTAGGTGTGAGAGGACAAAAACCCATCCCTTTCCATATGCAAAAACCTCAGTATAGTCAATAAAGCAGAAATAGACATCCTTTTGAACTCCCTTGCCTTTTTCATTGTCTTTTGTATGTTAATAGTACAGTCAATTCACCCATCTCTTCCAAATTCATTTGTATGTCAATTTTGTCCCCATATACTATTGAAATATGCATTGCAAAATCTTCAGCATTATTTCACCTGCCTGTTAGGTAAGGTTAATAGCCTGAGGATTCTTTATGATTACCTTTTTTGATACTGAAATATATACATTGATATTTGTCGGACCCTTGGCCACTCCTTTACTTGCTATACCAAGAGACATTATCTTTCATGCGTCATCCCTTTCCATCTTCTTTCTCCAGTAGATCTTTGCTTGTTTTATCATTTATTGTGCCCATCTAAAGGAGAAAGTTTCCTTTGATTTCTGCAAATTTCTCAAATTAAGCTCTTAACTATTCAGTTTAATTCCACTGATTATTTAAACATTTCTCTTTATTTCCTTTTGCTTTTCTCTGCAATTCAACAAGTAATTGGACACTAGTTTTTTGTTTCCTTTGCCTTTTGTTTTCTGTCTTTCTTCAGCTATTTTGAATGTATCAAGAGACAGCCATTTTCACTTCGTTTACTTTTTGCATTTAGGAATATTTTTATTGCCTTCATCTTTGAAGGTATCACAAATTTCAATGTAGGGTACCTCAAGCACTCTAAACAAAACTAAACTATTGTCTGTTTTTCAACTTTGTTGTATAATTGTATGTAATATTGCTGAGGCATAACTTGTTGGTCTGATTTTGCTTGCATTAGTTTAGGAAAAAGGGTTCACGAGGTAAGCCACAGTCAGGTTTTCATTGCCGAATGAACAGAACTTCTTCATCTGTCTTTGCAAAGTATATTGTCTATTTAATATTGATGTTATCCATGCAGTGATGTCCTTTTGTTGAGGCTTCTTTTAGGTTACAAAAAGCAAGAGAGATATTGAGGGCACATTCTGAATAGGAAATATATTACCCATTAAGTGCTACATGGTTTTAAAGCTGTCAGTGTATCCTTCATTGAGTCTATATATCCTGGTTTGTTTCATATGCTGAAGCAGTTGGGTTACCAGATCTATGCTACAAGATGCTAGGCAATCACATGATATTAGCAAAAAGTGTTAAGTTTTCTGTATCTCTTAGATGCCTTCTACTACTAATCTGCATTTTTACAACCCCAGCTCCAGTTTGGAGGGATGACTGCCCTCCAGTTCTGAATTGCAACATAATTTTAATTCATCTTTATTTTTATCTATAGCAGAAAATGACAAGTTCTAAATGGACTTCTATGTATAGAATACCAATACAGATTTAGACTTTCAATTTTTATATGACACACATGGAGCTCTACAAGCAAACCAGAAATACTAGTTTGTTAAATCTAATCAGAGTAAAACCTGTTTATGTTGTTTTTAAAGCTGTCAGTTAACTATTCGACTTCTTCAAACAACAGAACCTTGCTACATTATATTGTCAGGGAATATTTATAAAATTGAATAATAGGAAATTAAAAAAATAATAATTTTCAATGTGGTTTGCAAGTTTATCAGCAGCACACTAACCCCACTGCAATATTAAAACATGATTAGGAATACTTTTATGGATAAGTATCTACATTTCAAGTATGAACATAAAATAAATACTTACAAATGCTTTTGAAGTTGATGGACAACAATTAAAAGTATTATATAATGTGATCCACCTTCTGAAGACTAAAGTCTCAGAAACAAAGAGGTTGGAGTATTATTTTTTCAGTTGATTCTTTTGAGTAATACTAATAAAGAGAATTGTTAGTAGTTACTTGAATTCTAACTTTTCAGCAAGTTGTTTGTATCTGAAACAAATAAGAAATCCAACAGATAAAGCATTGCCGTTTGATCTGACTTCATTCCAAGGAAAGTTGACATTTCAATCCACCACATAAATTATTAAATACACAAGTAATTCATATATCTTTTTGCTCTCATTTACTATGTTCAAAATGCACAGCATTTTAGGCATGGTTTATAGTGTATTTCATGCAGTATCTTGAAAGCATCTCATATAGCAACAAATACAAGTGAACCATGCAAATTCCCTTTAGCAAAGCAGGATGTTAACCCTGAGAGACTTACATTTTATTAATCAGATTAGTGTAGTACTAGAAGAAAAAAACCATGGAACAAAATGTAGTACAGTGCAGGTGCAATGACCTTATTTTCCTCTTCAGAGGCATTAGCCAATGTAACCTGGAGGAAGTATTTCCCAATAGATTTCCTGCATAAAAGCAAAATATATCTACTAAACTATCTCAACAGGAAATTGCTTCAGGGCACTGTCAGAATGCCATTTCACCATTTAGAATCTTGGATTGTTAAAAATTGTTTTATAATATAGATTATCAACCTAACGCACATTAGAAGACACATAAAGTAACTTCACAATCATGACCATATTTTCTGGGTGTATTTTTGAAGCCAAATGTTTCTTTCCTGATAGTAATATGCTGTTATCTTTTCTTTTTCTGTCTCTGAAATTTTAGCTTAAGAAATTTGAGAGGAAACTCCACTGGATACAGTGACTGTTAGTAAAAACTAAGTTCCTAATGCACACAACAATAACAAAAACCTAAAGTTTAAGAGACAGAAAAAGTAACAACACACTCCTATCAGGAAATAAACATTTGGCTTCAAAAATACACACAGAAAATATGGTCAGAATTACTTTCATGAAATAAAACTATGAGAATCTATTTTTCCCATCATCTTACTGAGCATTCAGTACAGTTTTGATCATAGGAATGAGATGTAAAAAGGACATTAATAGTAATTCGATGCACCAGTAGCAAACATTATTGCATTACTGCAACCGAGTAATACTGCAATGCAGTGAGAAAGAAAATAATAATATGTAATTCCAACACGTGTGCGTCATATGTGCCTCAATTTGAGAGAGGATATTTCTCTGTATATATTTGTATATATTTGATTAGTAAAAAGTGCAAAGGTCCTCAATCTGTCCTCTCAATATAAGGTTAGTGAAAATGTCTGAACCCTGTTGCTTGTCAGTGTAAAGTGTAAATTATGATTATATGGTCTGGCCAGTAACACATTGCTACCTATATACAGTCCTACTCATATACATTAGTTGATATTTTACATACACTATAGTTTGCAATAATCTGTAAGTTAAATCTATTGGAAAATATTACATCCAAACTTACTGCAGAAAGACTGATCTGTATCGGGCAACCTGCACTTCTTAAACTGTACAGGCTTTCTGTACTTACTCTACAAGGTTTCAAT